GGTTCTCCTTTCTGCCCCTACCCTTTACCATCAGGGCAGCTTCACTCAGCAGCAGCCCCGGCTGCCTCCTGTCAATCTAAGAAGAATGAATTTAATGAAAACTTGGGAGACTCCAAACATTTGTTTCAGCAGGGGAAACCCTTCCCTACAAGGACTTACAGATACAGGACACAGAGGTGTTAGGGGGGTAGTTTTAGCAATGAGAGAAACCCCAACTGTGGGCAGCCTTTGTAAGTATCTGAAGTAGGACCGAATGCTTGATTTTTCTCTAATTCTCCATGTGTTCCTTGAATGTTTTGCTCTGCGCTGTGCAGGGCACCAGGGAAACACAGAGCTCAGTCCCGTCTGAGGAGGGACTCTGTCTAGAGCAGGAGACAAGCTTGTGAGCACATCATCATTTCAGCATGGTTGGCACTGGAACAGAAGCATGTGTGGGACGTTTTCACGCCTCCAAGGAGCAAGTATCTGCCCCACCTGGGGCAGGACAGGACTCAGAAGGAGAGCAATGAGCTGACTGGAAATGAAATCCATTAAATGCTCACTCAATGCCAAGCCCCTACATCCTGTGAAGAATGTAGGAAAGGTATGGAGTGTGGCCTGGGTTTAGGAACGCAGGCAGGAACTCAGGTTTTAGTTCAGCTTTGCCCCTAACCTGCAACCTGACCCAGGATAAGTTAAAAGACACTGCTTTGCAGCCATGCAAATGAGATTGGACTCAAAAGTAGGGCTCTGTCATGAATTTTCTATTAAGTATCTTAGCTCTCAAGAGAGACAAAATGAACTCAGGAAAGCATTAAAGAACAACATGAAACTGCATAGGAGACCACAAAGTTGGACAGTACAATAAAGGGTCCAGGAGCCGAGAGACAGGAAACTTTGGGCTAAGAAATCCAGGAGAGGTTCCTGGAAGAGGAGAACCCTGAGCTGGGCTTGAGGAATAATTAAAATTGGGGTAGTCAGAGAGGAGAAGGATACCACAATGGAGGAATAGTGCTGCCTTGCTCAGAAATGTTCATTGGCTCCCCAGGCCTACCACACATGGCATTACAGGTTCTGTCAGCCTAGCCCAGCTCCTACCAAGCCCAGTCATCTTGACATCCCTACAAGAGCTTCACGCTCCTGCACCCTGAGCAGCCCACCTGCTCTCTGAACCTGCCACACAGACACAGGCTGCTGCCTGAATTCCCTTTACCTACTGCTCTACCTCTTTCAATTCCTCCTTCCCCACTTCCCCCCCTTTAGAATTAAACATCCTTTCCCCCTTCTCTGAACTCTGTCCCATTTGTTTAGGGTCATACATGGACAGATCCTGACCCACTAAACTATAGGCACCTCAACTGTGGCTTACTCCTCCCTGTGGGCCACAGGCCCACCAATGGCTGGTGTTTGGCAAGCGCAGAATGAATCAATGAATCAATGAATGAATGATCAAGCTGAAATCTGGTTTTACAGAAAGGAAAGTTCATAGCTACAGGGGACCGTGAACTTGTGGCAAGAGGCAATGGATAGGACTAACCTGAGAGTGTGGCCCATACTGCTCTGGGAGGAGCATCTCAAAGCTGGAGGAGCTCAGGTGTCATCTAGCCCAGTTCATGTCATATGAGCCCTCCACGTCATTGCAGACAGCAGGCCAGACCCTGCACAAGCACCCTCAGTGAGGGCAGACAGAGCACCTTGCAGCTCTAGCACGCTGCCCAAGTGCAGTGGGAAGGATGTAGGCTGTGGAGCCTGACTGACCTGGGCTCAGATTTCAGCTCGGCTGTTTGCCAGCTCTGTGGCTTTATGCAAGCCACCTAACCTCTTTGAGCCTTGGTTACCCTTTTTTTGTAAAAGGGATATAATATGACCTCCTTTCAAAGTTATTGTAAGGATTATAGAGAATGTACAAAAAAAAGAAAAGAAAAGAAAAGAAAACAACAACCCGCCAGCTTATAAAAGGTGACTAATGACTAGTAGCTAAATCTATGTTTATGACATATGATTAGTTGTTACATATGGCTGGGGAAGTTTTCGTGGAGAGTTCAGAGACAATTCTAAGTAATAGAATTTGGGTTTAAACCTAACAGTCTGTCATAATTAAGTGAACTTATTATAGGACTCATTAACACAGTCTCTTATGAAGACGATGTTCAGGATCAGGGGTTATCAAGCTTTCTCCACAAGGACATAGCCCGTGGAAAATGATTACAGTGAGAGACACTTGCCAGCATGCAGGAACTGCTGCAGAGATCCAGAAAGCTGCAGAGGCTGGCCTGAGAGAGATGACCCAGAAACAGTGCTCAGGGTCTATCTCAGTGTGTGCCTATCTCAGTCCTAATTCTGGGAGCAGACAGGGAGAGGAGCAGAGAATCCAGGTTTCTGCCATCATATATTCGGGAGCCAAGTCGTTACTGGTTTGGTAGCTTGGAAGCCCAGGTCAAGTATTAGGGGCTCATCGAACAGGCAGGGCTTCGGTCCTAAGAGGTGGGAGGAGCCCCAGATGTAACTAGGGCCAGCCCTAGGCCTGTACATAAAGCCAAAAATGGTTTAGAAGTCAGGTCTTAATAACAGGTTGAAACTGTGGAAGGTGGAGAAGGGAGGGAAGAGGAGAGGAGGGAAGAGAAGAGGAGGGAAGGGGAGGGGAGGAGAGGATCAAAAAGTAGCTTTGATGCCAGTGTGGAGGTGTACCATTACCAGAATCGGAAGTCTCAACTCTCAAACCAAACCCCCTTCTCCTCCCAGTTTCCTCATCTCAGTGGGTAGCACCCCCATTCACAGACCAAAATCCTGGGGTGTCCCCAAATTCCTCCCTGACCTTGGCCTTCCACAGTGCAGCCGTTTTCACATCCTGCCCATGTCCCTTTTGAAAGAAAGACCTGTTCTCTGTCCCCACTGCCACTGTCCTGGTTCAAGCCTCTCTGCTTTCCTCCTGGCTCACTACTTAATCACCAGCCTGACCTCCTGCCTCACCTCTCCCCTTCTGTCCACCATCCACACTGCTGCAAAGTTCTCTTCCCCAAAAAGAATCTGGCCACACTGATTCTTGGCAACATCTTGTTACGGTCCAGAGCATCCTGTTATCACGGCTGGCAGGACCGTCACGATCTGCACAGCCCCCTGTGCCCTCCCCACCAGGTCCCCACAGGGGGAGTGCCTCTCGTGAGCCTCTTCGTGCGCTTCTCATTCTGCCTAAAACCCACTCCCCGCTCTTCTGGCCAACTCTCCGTCAGCCTCTCTGACTCCACTGCAGAACCAGTCACCCCACCCACCTCTTGATTCCCAAACTGGTGTAGGGGCTCCTCCTGTGGTTCCCCTCTGTGCTCCCCACTTCTCCCTCCTTTACGGCTATTATCGTACTGTCCTGGAGTAACCTCACATCCCTTTGCCGCCCACAACTTGAGCCCAAGGCCTTTTCTTACTCAGTTTGGGCTCTACAGAGCTCAGCATCCTGCCAGGCAGACCTGAAACACTCAGTAAATAGTCTGTGAATGAATGGGTGAAACTGAACAATGAAGAAATCCAAGAGAGAGGATGATTTGGCAGGGGAGACAAAACAATTTGGTTCCAGGGATGTGGAGTGTGAGTTGTTGGTGGAATATGTAGGTGGAGGTCCCAGCTGCACTGCGAAGGCGAGTCTGACGCCTAGGGGAGCATCTCATAAGCAACTATGACCTCTCTGCTCAGATGTGAGCAATTCCCCTCAGGGGGTCAAATGACCAGCAAGTGGTTCAGCGTAACCAAACCCACTCAATCGATGCAGACAGCCTCAGAGCTAGAAGGACACTATAAGAACATTGTCTAGTGTAATTCTTTTATTTGAGGAAACTAAGGCAGAGAGGGGAGAGGCCTAGTTAGAGGCAGTGCTGGGGCTAGAACCCATGTGTCTCCATCACAGTCTAAGCTTTATCTCCGGTCCCCTGTGGCCTCCTGTTTGCAGCACTCACCTCTGGGCCCTGAAGGAAGGCATTACCAGTGTGAAAGAAGCCACTGGAAGAACCTCACTCCACAGATGTTCGGACACTAACTCTTCCTTTCCCACAGCACAGCTTCTCATGGCCCCAAATGAGAATAGACCCGATAAAGATCTCAGGAGACATAGAGCTTATGCATTGAATCTCATGAAGTCTGCAAACAGGATGGATCCTGTGGCCTCCAACCACAACAACATTTATTTTCACCATGTTTTGAACAATATTGACCATCTACTGTCCAGCCCTATAACAGGTCAGAGTCAGCTGATTAGAAACCATAAGAGAGATTGCTCTGAACAAGGAAACTGACACACTGACTCAGAAAAGGCAGCCATTGGGGTCAGTTAGGGTAAGGACCTAGCCATTCACAGCAAAGCACATGAAGACTCTCCACACATATATATCTCAACACAAATCTTGGTTGTAATGTCCACATCATGTTCAGTACATTTTGCTTATTTAAGATCTGCAAGCATTGTAGACATTTATTAAGGATTTTCATCTAAAGTGATTCAGATTGCAAAGTCCTGACACCATAAGAAGCAAGCCCTCTGCTATCAAAGGGAGAAGTTATCCTTAAGGATTCTGGATAACAAACGGGTCTTCATCGTGACAAAGCAGGAAAGGAAGCTGGCATTTGTCATTTGACCACAATATACCAGGCACATTGTCTATCATGCATTGTCTCATTTAACTTTCACAACTCTTTAACCTCACACACAGCAGGCTCACAATGAGATATGTTAAACTGACTGAATGTCTGACTGGATGGAGTTTTTCAGCCTCATTTTAGACATTGGGACAACGAGGCCCAAAGAGGAGCCTGAGTTTTTTTCCAAGATACTATTGTCAAGGCCAAAACATGCATTCACTTGGCAGGAGGTAAGCCTGCACTTAGCTGTGAAGACAGAGTGAAGTTAATGCTTCAGTCACTCTTCAGCAAGCTCCACAAGCATTGACTTTGAGCTTGCTGAGTCTGCAGCCCTATGTGAGGAGCACTGCTTCCAGGCATACGATGTTTCATTTCACTATGTTTTCTTTAACTCACAGGAATGAATTCAGAGCATGGACGGACATCAAGCCTGTGAAACCAATAAAAGCCAGGCCCCAGTACAAGCCTCCAGAGGATAAGGTGGTTCACGAGACCAGCTACAGCGCCCAATTCAAAGGGGAGGCCAATAAGCCAACACTAGCTGACAACAAGATCCTTGAGCGCAGGAGAATACGCAGCCTCTACAGCGAACCTTTCAAGGAACCCCCAAAGGTAAGACAGATCTTGTGGGGAACCCATCAGCACAGCCTGGAACGGAGGGATTTCCCTGCAGCAGAGCATGGGGCAGGGCTGCTGCTGACTCTGGCCCAGCCTCCAAGGGCTCCTTTAAAATCCCTCCTTTTCTTCGTAGCATACTGAGACAGAGAGGTTTCTTTTTTTTTTTCTTTTTATTACATTTATTGAGGTAACATTGGTTAATAACGTAATATAAATTTCAGGTGTACAGCTTTATAATTCGATATCTGTGTACTCTATTGTGTGCTCACCACCCAAAGTCTAGTTTTCTTCCATCATCATATATTTGACCACCTTTACCCAAATCGCCCTCCAACCACCACCCTTCCCCTTTGGTAACCACTGTTCTGTTTTTGTTTTGTTTTGTTAGTTCATTTGTTACTTTTTGTGTCAGATTCCACATATGAGTGAAATCATGCAGTTTTTTTCCTTTTCTATTTGACTTACTTTCACTTAGTATATACCCTTAAGGTAGATCCATGCTGTCACAAATGACAATATTTCATCCTTTTTATAGTTGAGTAGTATTCCATTGTGTGTGTGTGAATGTATGTGTGTGTGTGCCATATCACATTTTCTTTATCTATTTATCCATCAGTGGACACTTAGATTGTATCTTGGCTGTTGTAAATAATGCTGCAATGAACATGGCAGTGCATATATCTCTATGAATTGGTGTTTTCATATTCTGTGGATAAATACCCAGGAATGGAATTGCTGGGTCAGAAGGTAGTTCTATTTTTTTTAAGGAACCTCCATACTGTTTTCCACTAATTTACATTTCCACCAGTCGTGTAGGTGGATTCCCTTTTCTCTACATGCTCTCCAACACTTGTTATTTCTTGCCTTTTTGATAATAACCATTCTAACAGGTGTGAGGTAATATCTCATTGTGGTTTTGATGACATGATTTTACATATAGAAAACCCTAAAGAGTCCACCAAAAAGCTATTAGAAATGGTAAATGAATACAGTAAAGTTGAAAGATAAAAAAGTCAGCATACAGAAATCTGCTGTGTTTCTATATACTAACAACAAAATATCAGAAAGAGAAATGAAGAAAACAATCCCATTTATAATCACAACAAGAAGAATAAAATACTTAGGAATAAAGAAAACAACAATGGGTCTTCTTAACAGGAACCTTTATTAAATTCAAAGAGAATGTGAAAAAGGAACATTACCTAAAATAAAAGCTTAAAGACTGGCAGATGTCCAGAGAACAAGCTTCTGATTTTGAGAAGTCCAGGAAAAAAAGTGGTAGAAAATCTCACCTGAAGCCTAAAGCTCCTTGTCTTAAATTAACTGCTTTGGCCTCTGAAGTGCTGGCCCAGTATTGGCGGCGTCTTAGCCTGGCTTCCTTCTCACCAGGCGGCCCCTGCCTCACTCTCAGCCCCAGTCACTGGATACTTCCTCACTCCCTGAGAAGTGCCCGCCCCTTCTTATCCTTTCTCTCGATAAACACCATCCACCAGCAGTTTCAGTCTCTCACGACACATCTGTCCTAGCAGCTGCAAGATGTGTCCTGAGTCCTTTGTTACTATAACAAACAGTTTGTGAATGGCTTACATTTCTCAGTAACTTACAGTGATTCCGGGGTTTTCCTCTAATGACGCTACTTTACCTTATTAGCATCCCAGAATGCATTCACGAGAGGGAGAAACATGTTCAAGATTCAGCTGCTGAAACAGGAATCATACATGCCAGAGCTTATTCTCTGAGGTCAGGCCACATGGAATTGTGCACATATCAGCTCTCCCATCTAGAATAGCAGAAAAAGTCTGAGAATCTAAATAGCCTTTTCTCTGCCTTTGCCCTAAAGTCTTGCACTCAGTGGTTTCCTATTTGGCCCAGGACTGGTTGACAGGTAAGAGAACTAATCAGCCCACTGCCTGGACTCCTCCTCCAGTTGTCGCATTGTAAGTTTCATGTTCCACGAAAGCCCTCAGTCTCGGGCAAAGCAGGACAGTTAGTTACCTTGCATACAGGTCAGGGGTGACTGAAAACTCCTGGACCTCAGTGAGTAAATGACCTAGTCTGTGAGGCCCAACATCATCTGTCCACCTCCCACAGATAAGGTGGGACCCAGGACATGGCCTTGGACAAAAAGAAGGAGGTGAGCAGAGCTCGAAGAGGGAGCTTGGGGAGAGTGGAGTGGGCTTGAACAGCTGCTCTGGGGTATATGGTTCAGGGAGCCAGATAGCAAGAGCGGGTGGCTGTGCAGTTCTGACAGCCTCCCTAAGACGAGATTGCTTGGCCCAAAGCATCTCAGTGAGGGCATTTCTTCATATGCGCTCACCGTCCTAGAGACATAAACAGAGGAAAGGCCAGCTTACGCTGTGGTCACAAACCCCCCTGCAATCTCTGTGTCTTGCATCAACACAGGTTTATTTCTTATCATACACGTCCATCATGAGGGCCTCAGCTCTCTTCCTCATCACTTCCTCAGCCTGGGACTCAGGGTGAAGGAGCAGCCTCTCTGTGACAGGGGACAGAGAACCCCTAGAAGCACGGGCTGACTCTGAGCCTGCCTGGAGGTGACCCACATCGCGTCTGCTCATATTCCACTGACTAAAGCAAATCGTATGCCTGCCTGACTTGAACAGGGTGAGGAGGTATTATCTTCCCACAGGGAGGGGAAGTAGATCGTTGCTATTTAGCAACACAGTCCACCGCCTGGGGAGTCCAGGCCGTGAGAGCTGGCAGGCCAGGGTGCCCACGTGGCCAGTGAGAGCATTGCCAAATGACTTACCGGGAGTACAGACAGAAAAGCCAAGTGACCTAACGTCACTGAAAACACTTTATACACTGCGCTCCCTCAGTGCCAAATGTCAACATTACCGTTATCCTTTAATTAATCATGTCTTCTCTCTAAATTCTCTATCCCACTCCCTCCCTTTTTGTGTTTCTGTATTTGCGGTCTGTCTGTCTCTCCGTGCAGGTGGAGAAACCTAGTGTTCAGAGTTCCAAACCAAAAAAGACCTCAGCAAGCCGTAAGCCCCAGAGGAAGGCCAAAGACAAACAGGTGGTGTTGGGCCGGGCCTCCAAGAAAAAGAGCGCGGAGGGCCCCAGTGCCGCCCCACCCGACGACAAGGAGCAAAGCAAAGAGATGAACAATAAACTGGCTGAAGCGAAAGAGTAAATTTCACTGCACTTTCCTTTTATTCTTCTCTCTCTTTTTTTTTTTTTTTTTTTTTTAACCAACCAACAAAAAAAAGGCCACAAAATTGATTAGAGGCTTCTCATCTGCCTTGGTCCTGAGTGTTCCAGGAGTTCTTTGGTTTGGTTTCTTTTAAGGGAGGAATTCTGTTTCGAAGACCGTATGGCATGCCTCCTCTTCAAATCTAGACCAGCAGGGCAGGCGCAGCCTGGGGTCCAAGCCCAGGGCCCCTGGGACCCTAGGAAATGTGGCTCTCCCACTGTGCCTTTCCATGGCATGTGAGACCACGTGATGGCGAGGAAGGCAGGCAGGGCTTCGTGCACAGACTCAATTCCCAGATGGCTGCAGAGGAAATCTCCTGGTAGTGCTTAGAAATGTCCGTGGGGTGTCCTCTTCCTAGTCCCCAAGGTCGGTGTCCATGATCAACTTGGAACTTTAGGTAAATGTGTGCTTTTCCAAATTCAGAGAGTTATCATGTGCTAGAGAAGCTCAGCGTGGGCTTCAGCAGTTGACACTTGTGGACATATTTTAAAAACAAAACACAAGAAAACCTCGGCCTTAATGTCAATAAAATGAGTTGTGTCTGTTAAGTTGAGGTAATTTTTTCATAGACTCTTCGGTTAGAAATATGTGGCTGCATTTAGTTTTTTATCAGTGGGCTTTAAATTGTATACCAAGTGAAAGATATGCCACTGATGATAAAAGTAGGGCAGGGCAAATGGTTAGGTGATTTAGGTCCATTCTAGACATCGTAGGAAGATGACAAAATGAGGGGATTGTTTCCTGTTCTCTCTCAGCAGACTGCCTGCCCAGCGTTGCCAATTTTGCAGGGGAGCTGACTCCAGGTGACTGAGGAAGAAAGTTTAGGGTGTAGGGATAGCGTGTTTAGAATGTGACTTTCCTGCTTCTGAGGAACACAAGGCAGGAAGTAGACGTAGTGGCAAGTGTGGCTGTGTTTACTCTCCCATCCTGAACTGCTGTTGCTCTGCTCCTCAGGGATGACAGAGGACGCTGAGCTTCAGGCTATGGGACATTTCTGTGACTTAGCTAAAGACGAGGAGAGTTCCCTGCTAAGTGATGAGGAAGCATTTTTGGCCTCGTTAATGAATAAAAGCAGCTCTCGATGAATTCTGTGTCGCGTGTCTGTGTGGCCAAAGCCCCCAGTGGTGGAAAGTGCCACCTTAGCTGTGCTAGAGTTGTGTTGTAGGCATTAGAGAGTTGTTGTGAAAAGACCCCAGTGCTCGTGAGGGGACCCAAAATACCTACCAGAAAAAAAATTACATTTGCAAACCTTGTGGCATGTATATTGCTCTGTATGCTTTATTTCCCCCGCATTTAAAATGCTTACTGCTGCCAGCATTGGAGGTTGCTAGACTATTGTTCGACACCAAGCCTCCGCTCAGGCTTACTTTTCTTTTGTACTGAAAGTGGTGCAGAGTAAAGTTCTCGCAGTCCATTACTTCAAAAGCCCCTTGAGGTCCTTCCGGTTTGAAGGAAGCAGAGCTTCCACGTGCTGTCTGGAGTCTAAGCATTTGAGCAGCAAAGTGTCCACTTACACTATTTTGTTTGTCACCTTGGAGCTGATGGAGAAGTCTTTTGTGGATTAACTGAGCATGTGCTATGCAGGCCATATTTCTTACGGGAACAGGACTACTAGAAATGAAGCCCTCGGCCAGGCCCTCTGCCGTCTTCCTTCCTATCTCAGGGTATGGAGCTGTGAGGAAGGAGAAGTATTGAAGAAAGTAGAAAATGTTAGTGAGTTTAGTGTTTATGAATCCCAAATTTTGATGCCTATCTGAAAATGACTAGAGTCGATCTTGGTACTGATGCCAGCTATTTGCTAGCTAATCTTAACATTAACCAGAGAGCTCTGTCAACGTGATCTTAATTTTATCCAGAGAACTTGCCAATGGATGTTCATTCTCCCAAGATCGGCATTAGTCAGACATGTTGATGTTAGCCACAGTTTGGATTTCTCCACAAAATAGTCATATATACATATATATATATTTTTTTGCAGATCAAGTAAATCAAACTTTACAATGCACAGGGGGCCATTCATTCAACATTGACTTATTGAATACCTGTGTGCCAGACATTGCACTAGATATGGCTGGTGGTATAAATAAATCTGCCTCCACAGCAGCACAAACAGAGGATACCTGAGACTTGATCCTGATCTGATTCAAGTTTGTGTTGCCCAAATTGTAGAGTTCTCCACCCACCTGGCAGCCCCAGGGGCTAAGTTCTCTACCTTGCGGCACCTAAGGCTTGAGATGAGCTCTTTGATATCTTTTTCAACCCTTCCATATCCCCATCTTTTTAACACCGGTTTGTAATTCACTTTGACTCTTGAATGTGTCACTTCACTGGCAAGAAACTTCCTTTGATTTCTACTGTTTACAAATAAAGCTCAGCCAGACATACGAATGGAAACTGATTTCAGTTTCACAAGCAGTGTTTTGATTTCGTCTTTCTGAAGGTGGCCAAGCTTCCTATACCTATTCCACCCATTTTTGTACTTTTCCCTGTGGTTTCCTCAACTCTCCTGGCAAGTGAGCGAGGACTGAAGCTTTCTCATGGCCTGATTCGCTTGCTGGCAAAAGGAATCACTAAAGCTAGGCATTGGCTCCTGTAGCTATGAATTCCCGGCTAGCACTCCCATTTTGTCCATTATACCTTCGCCTCTCTGAGGCAGACAGGAAGTGTCTAATTACGATTTTGTGGCCTGGGTTTTGTTGCATACCACAGGTTGTCTATGTAATGTGTAGCGCACACCTCTCTTGGTGCTATTTCATTCCTGCTGTTAGTAAGAAAATGACAAAAATATTCATGTATAGCCAATTGATTGTGACGTGCTTGTGGTCTGTGCCTGCTCAGAAAAAACAAACAAACAAACAAACAAACAGTTTTTCCAATTATAAATAAATGCTAAAGACGAACACCACTTTCTTGATCTTATTTCCTTGGTAAGGCCCAGCTGAATAGGTGAAGGACCAACCTTTGCCTTTTGAGCCACTCTTCCCCAAGAGGAGTTGTGCCCTGAAGGTTTTCTGGGGTTCTCCATAACGCAGCTTGACTCTTTTAGATTGCCTCTCAGATACTAATTGCGAGCAGTCAGAGCTAAGTGTTGGGAAAGGCGAAGATGGACCGGGAGACCCACTGGCCAACAAGGTAGTGTAACGTTTTGAACCCATGTCTCCGGGAATGAGTGACCACCTGTGTCCAGCACCTCCTCGCCATGCTGGGAGGCTGGGCCCTGACTCTCCACCCGCTTCCTGCCTGTAGCAGGACTGTCAGTTCTGGCTTTTTTTCCTCCCAAGGATGGGAGAGATGCCTTCACTTACTCATTTAACCTGGTCATTGTGGAGGTTCCACCCTCCGGGGGCTGGCTCACTGTGTGGGTTACAGGAGCAACAGTCTTGTGTGTGCCTGACACAGGGGTGTGGAAACAGCAATAAGAGAGGCCAAATAAGGTAACAACAGACCAGGTAGCTGGGAGCTCCGGTGAAGGACAGGTTTCTTACTGCCAGAAGGAGGGAATCAGAAGGCTTAATGGGAGAGGGAAACTTGGAGAGTGGGTGGGATGCAATTATGCGGGGGCAGGCTTACAGGAAGGAGGGCAGATCTGGGTAGCAACCTCAGAGCTAGGGCCAATTTTGCCCACTTTGATATCCTTCTGCTGAAGGGAGACAAAAGATTCTCTATGGGATCCCTCTTCCTTTTTCCAGCATACGTTGGTTGAATACCTATTATGTATCAGGCACTGTGCTGGGCACAAGGAAATCCAAAATGATCGAGCCCCGACCTCTGATCACAGAGGGGCAGGATAGAGGAATTTGTTCTAGCTGGTTCCGTGGATCAGGGAGGACCTCAGTGGATGGGCAGGTGATGACCAGGTGGCCAAGGCATGCCAGACAGAGGGAGCCACACAGCAATGGTGTGGCGAGGTCCAACACCAGATGAGCTCAGGTCCTAAGGGAATAGTGCACTCAGGGAGAGTCAGGGCCAAAGCTGGAGGGTGGCAGAGCTGTCGTGGAAAGGCCTGGTGCCATGTGAGGGGGCAGTCGCTCACAGAGATCTCCATTCCATACACCCAGCGTGCACTCAACACCTTTGCATGCTCTCTGCCATCATGCTTCTCACCCGCGCCCACCTACCGGGCAACAACCACAGGTCCTCTCTCGCTTTAGGCTAGGAGCTTTATTGTTTGTCTCCAATTTCTGGGGTTTGGGGAGGAGGCGTGGTAAGACTCAATCAAGGGTCAAACATATGAAAAAACACTCTACGAGTATATTTGTTTTCTGGATGAACAGAAAAATTTTGTATGAGGCAGAAGACACAAAATGCTGTTTAATATATAAAACATACATCAAAGTATATTATTGAGCTCTCTTTTGACCTGTTAAGGATTGTTTTGATCAAAACCAGGGATTTAGAGAGGTGGAAAGACAGGAGACAAAGAAAGAAAGGTAGAAATAGAGGCAGAGAGAGAGAGAAACACGTAGATGAAGACACTGAGAATAAGCTGACGGACACACTCAGAATGAGAGTGGACAAGAATCGGACGATGCGAAGGCAGGAAGTGGGGAGCCTGGCCAGCTGGATCGATGCTGCCCAAAGGGTAGGGCTCGCTCGCAGCTTTACCCCGAGCTTCCCACCGTGAGCCCTGATGCTGCCCAAAGCCCAGGAAGTCAATCTATAATTCATTACTAATATCACCTCCCTAAAACAGCAAACAAACAAAATTAAAACCAGCCCTCTAGTTTTAAAATAGATCGTTATTGCTAAATTAGTTATGTGTATTTTAATTCTTCCTTAGCATCTGTGTGCTCTTGGTGAAATTCTTCCCTCATTTCTTTTCACTCGGGTTTAAAATTTTCTAACCTGCTTCTCATAGATTTGGGGAGTGTCAAATTCCATTTCACAAAGGCTGGGAACCCCTCAGCATGTCACATTGGTTTCAAGATCCTTTTAC